TCCGCAGGGCCCTCAGCAGAGGGTTGAACCACAGGTTGGTTTACCCTACTGCTGATAGCAGATTGTAGGAGAGGTAGAAGATTCTGGTTTAGAGAACAGCTCGGTAAGTGCGGGTGGTTCCGTTCGAACCTAGCAATTACCTTGAGGTTCATCTTGATCAGAATCCTCTCTCTCTCCGTTATCTGCGCGGGGTCTTTGCCGATAAATTTTTTGCAGTAATTTACCGACCTTTTATATCCCCGCTTTGCTTTCACCTCTTTTGGGTCGGCGCCATCACGAGAGGTAGGGTTTCTGGCAGGATCCCCGCCAGTGCCTACAATGATGGCGTCTTGCTGATCGAGGCTGGTGGCATCGGAAGTGACCGACGTTATTCCCTCCTGAGTTTTGGACTCCGCGCAAGTCTCGCTGGGAGTGTTCTTGGTGGCTTGTTGAGATGACTTACCACTTTGAGACGAGGAAATGACCGTGATGTCCAGTTCCTCATCCGAAAGTGGTGAGTCATCTCCAAAGCCAGAAGGAGTACTCTCCTGACTGAGCCTTAGCGTTTTTGTCTTCTCCAGGAGGGCGGACAACTGTTCGCTATGTCGCTGGATGTTGTCATGGATGACGTCACTGTAGCTCAGTATGTCGTCCCCTCCCGAATTGGAAATCATGTCCTGTGGCCGGTCCTTGGTCAGTGCTTCTTTGGAAGCAATGGTGTCATTGGTGGAAGTTGGGGTTTTGTTTTTGTTGTTATTATTGTTTTTCTCCATGTGAAAGGTCGGACTTGGAGGAGACGAGGTCCACCATGGCATAGCCTCCCTACCATGGCAAGGACTTGGCAACTAAGCCTGTTACTCACTGAGGCGCCCAGGTATCAGTGAGGCAACCGTGCGAATACAGTCGGTACCCTGACTGCAAACCGAGGAACGCTGATGGGCACGGTTTACGTAACACCCCAGCGTTAGGGGGTCTTATTCCTCGGTAGACCAACACCGATCACTGGATAATTCGAGGCGCCAGTTGTTCGCCTCGTCGAACCAGGGATCATGGGCACTCGGATATTTATTCCGAGACTCTCCCCCCGGAACCGCTGAATTGTCCGCGACTGCTTATTTATTCGCAGCTGCCCAATATATCTATTGGGCGTTCCACTATCCGCAACCTGTGGACGCGTCCGGTAGCAACCAGCTATGCTTCCGATGATAGGCCTCAGATCAGAGATAGTTTGCAGGAATTTTCCAGCAATCAACAGGACTATGTCTATAGCCCACTTAATTTTGCATATGCTTACAATTCTGTTGGTCAGATTTAGGTCCCCAGCCGAATAGTCACGATCCGCTTGATCGATTTGCCGATTAATTACCGCGTCAGTACAGTTAGGGAAGTGTGTGCTGCCTAACAGATTAAGAGTCTATACCGAAACGGGCCACCCTCTCAGAGCTTGAGCTGACATTACGCCAGTTGTCTGGTTTGAAATAGGGGTTTTGTTTGCCGAGTATCGTCAGAATGCGTGTCGGATCCACCGATGGTGGTGGCATCCACGCTGTCGATACTTTACGGCAGGGGATCTCTTTCAAGGATTGACTGGGCAGATGGTCTCTGAATGCTTCCTCTTCCGTCCTCTTTGGCTTGGCCGCTTCCATGTGGCTCTTTACAGGCTTTGAGCTTGTAGGGTCTACTGGAGTCGATTGGGTTACAATCGGCTTGCTGACCGTCGGAATGGGAGTTGTATGAGTTGGCTCGGAGGTCTGAACCGAAGATGTCTCCTTGGCCTTAGGTTGTGGTTCCTCCGTAGATCGGCCTCTCTTCAACGCTGAGCGTGAAGAGCTGTCAGTTTCCTTCGGGACTGCCGAGGCTGCCGTCATCGTGGCTCTGCCTTCCTTGCTTTACGTCTCCCTCGCTCTTTGGCAGGAGGGTTTGACTCAGCGTGGTCAACATCCACCTCCACCGTAGGAGTAGGTACCGATGGGTTTACTGACCACCACAGGGTGTGGATCTTCCCTTTCATTGATAACATATGGTAGGAGAGCTAGAGCAACCTGATCAAGAGAGCAACTCGGTAGTTGCTCTCCATATAAATAAAAAATAATTGATAAAAAAACTAAATAAATAAAAAAAATTATCAACGAATAGTAATATATATACAAAAAATAATAATAATTTAAATTTAGTAGCAATTCAGTAATTAGACCCTCAGACACAACTCCTCTACCAAGCTGAACAACAGTTTAACAAGATAGAGAGGAAAAATGCAAGAGGCATCAATACACTTAAGCGCTAATCATCACTCGTTTCCAACCGAGCGAAAGTAGCTACTACAAGTATAGCAAAAAAATCAGTAAAAAAGAGAAAAAACAATAAAATTATGTACTACATGGAAAATAAACAACCATAATAATGGAACCCAGCCAATAACTAAAAAGAAATAACAAAAAGTAACCCGCAACCAGAAACTCAATGAACAGACAAATATTTAAAACACCTCTTCCTGTACAAATCAAAAGAACAGGTAAATTTATGCAGGGTCAGAGGGAGCTGATTTCACAGTCTCGCAACTCTCACAACAAACGCCTTCTCACCAACCACAGACGAAAATCTTGGAAACAGCAATTGCGGATTTCGAGATGATCTACAAAACACAAACTTATTATATAAAGGAGAATTAACATTCCTCATAATTCTGTAATGACACAAAAGCAGGCGATATTCGACATATCTGTCAAAGGACAGTCCAAGAAACTTAATAACATAGTGTGTTACACGATCACTACGGCGCAACCCAAACACATACCTAACAATAGAGTTCACAAGTTTGCGTACGCGCAGAATTAGGCAAGCATTCACTCCAGAGATGACTTCCAAACAATAGTTGACATGAGACATTAATAAAGATCAGGAAGCCATCATCCTAACACTAAGAGGCAAATGAGCTTGAAGACTCCGCATCTGAAAACGCACACGAGACAGCAAAGAATCAACATGTGCTGAAAAATTAAGCTTGGTGTCAATGACTACACCTAAACATCTTATCTCATCCACAACATTAACCACAAAGGAGCCAACACAGTGTACGGCGTAGGAACATAACGAGGACTATAAATTTCTTAGAGAACTTTACCGATCTTTTGTAACACTGTTTCGCTTTCGCCTCTTTCGGTCGGCGCCAGTAGCTTCGCCTCTTTTAGTCCAAGAATCACGGGCACTCGCCCGCCGCCTTGACTTCATTTATGCTAGTCGCAAGGACTGGATATAATTGTACTCTTTTAGTAAATGCGATGTTTGCTTTTCGATTGTAGCCATGGCAGTGGACCTATGCCATTCAAATTAATAGAATAAAAAGGTTTAGGTTTTTGGGATACTGCATAATGTTCTTGCATTTGTTCTATCAGGCACAGAGCACATTATACATTTCAACCTATTTTTTGGTGCTTGTTAATTATTACATTACTTTACTCCAGTTCGACTGTACATAAGTCATCAACATGTCTTATTTTTGTTCTTGGTCGATGATCAAGTACGAAATGATAATTCTACAGCTCTAAAGTCCTTCGTGCTGCACGTTTTTTCTTCTTTTTTTTTGCTATCACTTGGACAAACTCCTGAAAAATTTACAAATTCCCATATTCTTTGGCACATTTCTTTATAAAGTCTCAATTACCTTCTTGTGTACTTTACAACATAAATATTCTATTTCTATGAGAATTTACATTTCACTTGTCGTTTGTATGAAAAGCTATCACATTAGTTCAAAAAAAAAAAAAAAAATAAAAAAAATAAAAATCCACGAAATTAAACTTAGAACCAGTAAAGAAAACTCAAAACCATATGATACTACCCTCCACCACTATGTATATTCTCTCGTAAAATAAAGGTTTATATTGGGCGTTTCTGAACTCTATTAGATATCTGGTACAAAATATGATTATGATAGACTCCATATTCCGAAAGTTGGAAATTTATACACCAAATCGATAAAACATACATATGGAGCTAGAGCTATATCTGAACCGATTTTCACCAAGTTTTAAATGTTAACTTCTATAATGAATTCGCTCGGAAGTGCAACTTTTCACTCACATTGGGCTGAAATTATCCATTTGGTGCACAAGAAAAATTGAATCAGACAAAGATATATATATCCAATCTTGATAAAATTTGAATCATGTATTGCTAGGCTGAATCTTATATCTGGTACCAAATATCATTGTTATGGGGAGTATATTTCGAATATAAGGGATGAAACATATATATGAGAGCTATAGCTATATCCTAACCGATTTCCACCCAATTTAAAGTACTTATTTCTATACTAAATTCGGTCTAAAGTGCCAAAATTCACACCATTTGGACTGATGTTAACCATTTGGTGCACAAGAAACCTAAAATCTGAAGAAGATATATATGGGAGCTATATCTAAATTTGGACCGATTTTCACCAATTTCAATAGGGTTCGTCCAAAATTCACACCATTTGGACTGATATTAGCCATTTGGTGCACAAGAAACCTATAATCTGAAGAAGATATATATGGGAGCTATATCTAAATTTGGACCGATTTTCACCAATTTCAATAGGGTTCGTCCTTGAGCCAAACAAATGTTATTTAGAAAATTTCATCTCGATCGAATAATAAATGAATTTTGTTTACAAAAATACATAGAGAGACAGACGGACGGACATGCATAAATCGATTCAAAATGTGATTCTATGCTGATCACCAAAAGGAACTATGAACATGGAACACAAAGACATAATACCCTTACCACTATGTGGTGTAGGGTATAAAAATATGACTTTTGGCTACCAGTTTGTTTTTTACAGATAAAAATTAGTAGAGGTTTTCCGTATTTAGAAATATATATGGAAACGTGGACTGATATAGCATAATCTATACTAAGCATCATTATCACAGCTAATAAATCGACTCAGAATCCGGAAACTTTTATATATGCTCAATGCGCAACAGTAATAAGAACTTTTATTGGAACCTGCATTTTATTGATTTTAAATATTTAAGTCCGTTTCAGGTGATATCTGGTGGTACTACATGATATCTATGGCATTTTATTGGTCTCTAACAGTAACCCAATTTTTCGATGTGAAACGGAAAGACTTTTGGCAAATGTTCGTCCATCATATGGTAACACTACTTTTAATGTCGTTAAGCTGGATTTGCAATTTACACAGAGTTGGATCATTGGTGCTTGTTATTCACGACTGTGCTGATATTTTTCTTGAAGTAAGCTTAATTACGCTCTACCTATATTTTACTGTAACTTATAATATTTTTTTAATCAACAGGCTGCGAAATTGACGAAGTATGCAAACTTCCAAAAACTATGTGATATAATTTTTGCAATTTTTACCGTTGTATGGATAGTGACACGTCTTGGCTTTTATCCCCGCATAATCTACAGGTAAATTTGTTTATTTCCTGTCGTAGTTCTCATTAAAGCTAGTGATAAATCTTGGGGTTTATTCTTTAACAATGCCAAACGATTTAATGAAAACAAGTGTAATATTTTATGCTTTTTTAATAACCATGTTAAATTTTATGAGAAATGCACTAGTTGAAAATAAAAATAAGGAATATGATCTTCCGTCTACTGGGTTACAACCCCAGTCAGCGTTCACGTAAACTTTCATTTTACTTTCATTAGGTTTAGATATTAGTTTCATGTTGATTAATCCCGAATATTATTTAAGTATTGCGAGCGTCAGCATTTTACTGAACCAATTTCGACGCTGCAAGATGTCAGGTCTCGTAAAAGTTACTATATATTTCAGGGCTCCGACGAGGAATTACTTATCGGTTTGGTGCACACGTTCATCATTATCATTGACACTTGAAGTATTTGCTTCTTGCCTTCTCTTTCGATTTTCTTATCACCGACACCAAACTCACTTGCTAATTTTTAAATTTTAATTTTTGCCTTTGCACCCAGTAATAATGTCGTATTATCATATTGACTGATCATTTATTTGATGTGGTTCTACTAACATATTTTAATATTTAAAAAGTAGACCCAATTCGCAATACCCAATTAACAATATATGAATGGAAAGTTCGAAATGATTCATTTTTATGCATTCGTTCTTTCATTGCTATTGACATGAATTAATTCGACAATATAAAGTAATGTCGTTTTTAGAGCCGTTACGTTTCAAGCAATAAAATTGATTCGTTTACTGTTCGTTCACATTCTAATGCAGTGCAAATAATGGAGGTCGAAATATAAAAAAAAAACTAATAAGTGCGGAAATATATTTGCTTAAATCTGACTTCGCCACAATTTTATAACTTACTTTTGTGTTTTCTGTTGGAAAAAGTAAATAATAAACTTGAAATGAAATTTTCCACTAGAAACCCATTTATGTTAGTACGGTAATTCGCTATGGTTGGTTGTGAATGTTAGATGACATCAAGTGTTGACAAGCAAATCAATACATTGATTTCCTTGTTGTTGTTGTAGCAGAGTAACATGTATGTGTTTGTATGTGTTTGCGTTCTGCTAATCTGGCTCCAGCTCCAGGTTTAGAAATTCGGCTACTTTAACGGGCTGTAGCCAGAGATCTTCTGGAGTGAGTTGGGTGGGTTTGGCTGAGCAATTAAAAAGGTGTAGCGTATTGTGCGGGCCTGTATCGCACGCCGGGCAGGCGTCACGCACATCTTCATTAATTCGTGCCCAATACGAATTGAGACGACTACACCATCCTGAACGTAATTGCGCCAAAACCACCCTGGTTGTCTAGGCAACTGACGTTCTTCAGCTGCAATGGATGGGGGGTGGACTCCGAGAACGGCATTCACTTTATAACTGCTAATAGCATCCGCGACTGCATCGGTGTGAATGCCACTCAGTATCAGGCAGGCTTCTTGATCTAACCTCTCTCCTGGGTGGGGGAGACTTATCCACCATATGATGGTTTGGATGACTCTCACGGTAACACCCAAGCAGGTACTGCAACGAAAGCATAGGATTATGCTGACGTATGGGAAGGACTTTCGCCTCCTCATGTAGATGGTCCACTGGTGTCATGAGGAGGCACCCTGTCGCAGTTCTCAGGGCAGCGTTCTGGCAGGTCTGGATATGCTTCCACTGCGTAGCACTAGTATTCGCAGACCACACTGGAGCCGCATAGCTGACCACAGACCGACCTATCGCGTTATAAGAGGTCAACAAGGTTTCTTTGTCCGCAGCCCAAGAGCTGCCGGCTAGCGCCTTGAGGACCTTGTTCCTTCTTTTCATCTTGTCGCAGATAGCTGTGGCTTGCGCGGACGACTTGAACATGCTGTCGAACGTGACCCCAAGAATCTTGGGGTAGTTCGTGGTCGGTATTAGATTCCCCTCGACCTGAACATTCAGCGACCTGAGCATGCAGCATCTCCGCAGACCATGTGGTAAAGAGTGTGGCCGTTGATTTCGTGGCGGATATTTTCATATTTCTCGCGTGGAAGTATGCGGCAAGCTCCCTGAGATAGGGGTTCAACCTTTCGCATATGTCATCGACCACTGGACCCGACGCCATGATCGTACAATCATCCGCATACGTTACGATCTCAATGCCGTCTGGAGGGCGAGGAATTCCGGAAAGGTAGAGGTTAAACAGTTCCGGAGATATCACCCCACCTTGGGGAACTCCCTGTTTCACTCTACGGGCTTTGGACTTCTTGTTCCGGAATTCCACGTACGACTGGTGTCCACACATATAGTTGATTATCCAACGTTTCAAACTTGGCCGGAGGGTAGTTATCTGCACGTCCTCAAACAGTGTGGCATGATTGACCGTATCAAATGCCTTTGATAGGTCAAGGGCTACCAACACTGTTCTATCACACGGCCTGTTCTGGTTCAGTCCTCTACTAATATGTGTGGAAATGGCGTGTAATGCTGTTGTGGTACTATGTTGTGGACGGAATCCGTGCTGGTGGTTGGCAACTGTATAGCTTCCTCTAATGCTGGGGAGGAGTAAAGCCTCAAGAGTCTTTGCTACTGGCGACAAAAGCGAAATCGGCCTGTTAACCGTATATTAACTTCTACTCTAATGTATTATATTGTGTTTAATTTTTGAAGTAGTCTATGAGATTTTATATTTATTTAATTTATAATAGTAATCCATGAAATAATTTGTATGTATATAATAGACAAAAATTGTATTTCGATTCATTCCGTTAGTTTAAAGTGAAAGGGAAAAAACAAATGTAAGTTTATTTTCAAAATTGTTCTTGACATTCTATGTATATAATATGATATTTCATTTGTATCAGGGCAAGGCAGAGAGCCCAAAAATTTTTTTGTGATTGTATGTGTTTTGAAATAACAAAATATTGCAAGTGTTTTTTTGCCTCTCTTTACAGAGTGAGAAAAAATTTGTTATCTTTAAATTTTCAATTTAAAATCTTCTGTTTTCAAAACACATTCGTTGGTAAAAATTAATGTTTTGATCAGACAATTCGGAGATATATTTGCACAATTATTTCAATTATGATTCATTTTAAAATAAAAAAATATATATAAGTTACATTTTCAGAAAATTTATATAATTTTGATGTTATTTGTGTTTAATAATTTCGGACATAACATGCTAACCATCTAAGTTGACCCTTTTAAAAGTAATACCGATTACCACATACGTAAATAGTCGTAGAATTTTATGCTGATCAAAAACTCATATCCTGCACTCGGTCCTAAAATATTATTTCTATGAATTACAAACAGAATGACTTGTTCTTTTTCCTAATAGTGACTAAGAACATACATATCATTTTAGAGAAATCAAGGGATATGAAAATGTCCACTAATTTGAAAGAATAATAAATTTATCTAACAATATTAAATAAATTTCTATTCCTAACACGTGAATTCGTATGCAATTTTTGTCAAATAGAAATCAATCAAAAAAGATAAATCTTAAAAATTGAACTTTTTACAATTTCGCAAATATTTGTTTCAAATATGTAGTCGGATATATTTATGTACACCAATATTTCTTACGGTGTATTCATAAAAATATCCGACAGCACCTTCCTCAAAGACTGCTCGAACAAAACTAAATATTCTCCCAAAACCATTTTGACAGAAAATTCAAAACAATTTATTTTTTACAATTGTGTTGGTGAACACACAGATATCCCAAGGGATACTCTTTGCCTAGCCCTGATTTGTATAATCATTTATTGTTCTAGTGAATAAACAACGCCGTTTTATCAATATCCCGAGTATTTCAATTTTAACACGGCCTGTACGATTCGCCTTTATTGGCATCCTTGCCTGGCTTCAGTAGCGGGACCACCCGGCCCATTTTCCAGGTTTCGGGCACTATATGGGTGGCTAGCGACAAATTGAGAACTTTCGTTAAGTACTCGACTCCCGGCGTATCCAGCTGCTTCAACATTACCATTGAGATTCCGTTCGGGCCCAACGCTTTGGATGACTTAGCGTTACGGATGACATTTGCAACATCACCCATCGTAAATTGTGGTGGTTCCTCCTCGGCGGGAAGAGATCTGATACGACGTAGTACTCTTCGCTTCGCCCTATCGCTCTCGGGGTGCTCGACAAATTGTCGGTTAAAATATTCCGCGCACCTATTCGGATCAGTCACCGTTACGTCGTTAAAAGTGACTGAGGTCCTATCATCCTTTTTCCAGGGTTCGAGAGCGACTTAACCGTTACCCACAGCTTACTCATGTCGGTTCCAATGTTGCAGCACTTCAGATGGTCTAGCCACTTTTTCCTCTTATGCTCCTGTACCAACCGGTTGACTTCCACTGTCAAATCACTGATTCTAGGATCAGTAAGGTTGGCACGACGGAGACCATCACGCTCGTTCGCTAATCCCGCTGCCTCTGCTGGGAAGTTTGGTCTTATCTCGGGTATTTGACCAGCAGAATATAGCGAGCGGCTGCAGCTTTTATGATGTTTCGGAAAATCCTTTCTGCTACCGAACATCAGAAGGGTTGGGCAGTTCTCTGAAGCGGCGGTTGGTGAATTCTCTGAACTCTGGCCAGTGAGCTTTCCCATGGTTAAGGAAAGTGCGGCGTTCAGAGGTTATGAAATCGGGCGACCTGCTCATGGTGACGATTATCGGGAGATGGTCCGAGCCAAGAGAAATGACGGGTTGCCAAGTCACGTCATTTATCAGACCGGGTGACACTATGGTTAAGTCTGGCGAACTGTGACACTCTCCTCTTATTCGGGTGGGGGCATCCTTGTTAACCGTGCAGAATGTGGAGCAGTCAATCTGCTCTGCCAGCGTTGATCCCCTCTGGTCATTACCTAGGACGGAATGCCACAACTCATGGTGGGCTTTAAAATCCCCTAGTAACAGGCGGTTATTGCCTACCAATAATGGGCTAATATCAGGCAAATAACGCGGTTCACAGCTATTAATCGGCGGGATATATACATTAAGC